AAACCTTACCAGTTTGGCAGGGAAGTTCTTGCACAGAAATGGTTCAGCACCTCTCTGGACAGACATTAACCAATAAACCATCCCCACTGAATGTTTTGGATCCCCCATTCTACTGGAACCCTTTGAGCCCCATTTCACATCATTCAGAAAGGATCTCAGTTGTTACGAGTAGAGGATCCGAGGGGATTTGCTCCCTGTGGCACAAACGGAATCCCATACAATCATCTCTGGATTCCTTATTAGAATACGTCCTTGTTTCCACCTATAATTTCGGGGAAGTGTCATAACCACACTTTAAGAAGGATGCTGACAAACTGGAGCAAGTTCAGAAGAAGGTTTCAAGGATGGTCAGGGGACTGGAAACCAAGCCCTTGGAGGAAAGACTGAAAGAACTGGGCAGGATTAGCCTTGAGGAAAAAAACTTGAGGGGAGATAGAATAGCACTTTTCAAAGATTTGAAAGGCTGTCCTCCAGAGGAGGGGTAGGATCTGTTCTCCATCATCTCAGAGTGCAGGACTTGTAACAACGGGTTCAAGTTATAGGAAGCCAAACTTAGGCTGTATAACAGGAAAAATGTCTTAACTGTTGGAGTAGTACGACAAGGGAACACATGACCTCAGAAGGTGGTGAGTGCCCCAGCGCTGGAGGCGTTCAAGTGGAAATTGGACAAACCTTTGTCAGATCTGCTTTGATTTGGATTCCTGCATTAAGAAGGGGGTTGGACCCCATGACCTTATAGGTTCCTTCCAACTCCATTATTCTATGATTGTGTCATAAAAGCACAACATAATTATTGCGCAACTCTTTTTGAAGCATATGTAATTGTATAATTCTCTCTCTCTCTCTCTCTGTCCACAGAAATCTTCTTCCCTTCTTCTCTCCCTCGGCTCCTTATTTCACTCACGATGACCTCCAGTCAACAAAAGGGGCAGCCATCACTGCTCAAGACCAGGCCACTTGGCCTAAAAGAAGGTAAAAGCCAACACACTCTTATTCTCCTTGGATGGACGTGGATGGATGTCTCTTGATAATGCAGTGGTCCCTGCTGGTCACTTCCTCTTTCTTCAAAAAAAAAAAGCTATTTAAGATTCTGGAAGAGGAAGTAGTCTTGATGGCTGGGACATGTATATTTGTGGAGGGCGGGACTTCCCCAAGTTCAGTGTCAATCAGATGAAGACCAGAAACACAACACAATCGAGGGGACCTTGAGGGGTGCAGCCAGTCCCTTCTGAACAAAGAGCAGTTTAAGGCAAAGTCTTTTGTGGTCAACCTAA